AGTTATTATTTAGGAAAGGAAGTTCTTTAAGTTCAAAAGAGTCCACAAATTGGTTGAACTTCCTCATACTTGTTGTCACTCTCTATCTAGGGTTGTTGGTTTCCTCTGCAAATCTCACTACATTAAAATCCCCTCCCACACACCAAGGTCCATCCCAGAGGCCTCTAATGTCACTCAATTCTTCCCATAATTTCTCCCTCTACCTATAGTCATTGGGTCCATACACATTTGTTAGTACCCATTCATATCCATCGTCCACCTGTCTGAACTTTAGGGAGACAAAATGATCTCCAATTAGCTCCTCCACACCTATGAGTAAATCTTCTTTCCACAGGTCATAATCCCTCCTGAGGAACCCCACGAGAGAGCAGCCACCCACTTTATACCCCTAGAACTCCACACACTCCTTGCCCATCTACAATCAAAATCCATTCTTTTGGACTCCTGAAGCATTATCACATTCGGATTAAACTTCTTAATTACCTCTTTAATTGTCGCTCTCTTCCTAATCCTGCCCAACACCCTCACATTCCAACTTAGGATTCTCATTGAAAACTCTTAGCCTTAACCCTAACTCCTCCAAGATCAATTTAGACCCTTTTTTTCTATCCCCTTTCACTTCAAACTTCTTGTCCCCCTCAATATCTCTTTTTAATCTCTCCACTTCACTCAGCTTTCTATTCTTCATCTTGYTGTCCTCTTCTTTTTGCATGTAGGCTTTTAGATCATTCGGGTTCTTCAGCTTGCACCCCAACTTTTTCACAAACTCTACAACTGACTCTTCCCCACTAGTTTCCTCTTTTTCTAAAGTTGCACTCTCCACACTCCTAGGAAACTTCTCGTTCCTTCTCACATTACCTCCAACAATAGCCCTTTTTGTCCCCTCCATGTTCCCTCTCTGCATTTCCTTACTCTCCACTTCACCCAAAAGGCTCTCTATGATTTCCCATATTTTTGTCTCTTTGCAAATTTTCTCACCCACTTCTCCCTCTTGTAGACGCTTAAGGGATTTACTTGAGGCAGAGATGTGAGGAGAGAGCATAGGAGAAAGAGTGGCAGTCACTTCTCACCCACTTCTCCCGCTGTATCAACACAAAGACCCCTTTCTGTACCCAAGTATGTACCTCTCTATGAGGTACCCTTGTTCAGCTCTGAGAAGACCCGAGCTACCTCCTGTTTGGCCTCTTGCAAAGCGCTAGAACTAGGGAAGGACTCAGCCAAATTTGGGTTAAGATCATTCACCCGCTCCTCCCCCTCCTTTCCCTCCCTCACCGAATCCCCTATGAACAAACAATCTAGGCTGAAAGAATCCCTGTTATGTTCTTCAGATAGAGCTTCGTCTGCCGCATTACCTAAACTCCTATATGCTTCCAATCTTTCATCATAGTCAGAATCTGAGCCACAACTTATCCAACCTTGGTCAGCCTCTTCCTTCTCTTCTGTTCTAACTCTCAAATAGCGTGGGTTCGGGCGATTAGGAATGTTGTGTTTTTGCACGTCGCCAGCCAGCCGTCAGACCCAGCACAGAGGACAGCGTCCTACCTTGCTCGCAATCTGAGCCCCTCCACAGTCGAGAGGGTGAGACCTAGATGATGAAAGATGAATGTTGCCATCTATAATCGCCCCATGCCTGCCCCGCCCCACGTGATGACTTAAGTTGTCACGTGGGCTTTTAAAAAAAACACCCGATGCCTGCCCTGCCCCACATGAAGGCTCACCCACTGACCCGTCCGGCCCAGCCTTCCTTAAAGCCGGTTCAGACAATGACTTTGAGCACACCCGAACCTTACCCCTTTTAGCCACGTCAGCATAGGACAGGTCACCCTCTTTAAACAACCCAACTTCAAAAAAATTTGAATTAGAAGCCTTAATAGGAAAGCTTCGAGACTTGGGGCACCCCTGCAAATGTTCCCCTTCCTCTGTAGTTCACCCACACGCACCAGGCTTTCCCGCCAGCCCCTGAAGGCCACGTGTACACCAACCTGCAGACTCGTAGCTCCTTCAACCTCTGTTCGTCTTCCCCAGAGCGAGGCTTCATCTTCTGAAGCTAACCAGACTTGTACCAGGCATCTTTTGAGAGAACTTCGAAGGCGCACGACAAGTACTCCGGCTTGATCCCAGCAACCTTAAGTTCCATAGCTCTCAAGTTTCTTAAGTTAACCTCCAACAGAACTCCACCCAACGCTCTAACAATTTTCCTTAGTATTTGATCGTTCCAAAGGTTGAAAGGAAGACCGAGAAGTTTGATCAAGAAGCTGCCGACTCTAGATTCAACTTCGTTACAAACTAGAGCCCAGTTCTGGACCTGAATCAAACTTCCCTCTACAAGGATTGTACTGAAATTCAGTTTCTTATCGCCAGTATCTAATAAAGCTTTCTTTTCAGCAAAAGGCAACAACACTACATCTTCATCTAAGCCCAACCTCTCTGCAACTACTTCTAAAACCTTCTTCCAATCTTCTATCACCCTATCTGCCACTAGGACCATCCTCTTCTCCCAGCTCCCACTCCCTTCTTCCAAAGCTACTCGTCAGAGGACAATCGAGCTAGACACCAAACCTTCAGGGTAATGCTTAAAACAGGGCACCTGATTACAAAGGACAGAAGGATTACAATCCTTCAAGCCAGGGACTTCTTCCACTCTCCCTTCAACCTCCAGAAGAAAAGCCTGAAGATTAAAAGCGAAGGAAGCCCACCCTCTCCGCTTCTGGCCTTCCGGAATACACAACATTTGCCTTTTGTTATTACCAAAGAGTTCGGTAACCATTATAAACCACCCATTTCCATTCCTCTTTAGCACAGTTTCGAACCTTTTACTCTCACAAATCAACGAGTTTCTCCAACCTTATTCCCGTAAAGAATTAACAGTTCCATCTACAAAAATTTTCAACCACACACATGCCTCCTCCGATAGAAGAATCGTCGCCCTACTCCCTTCTCTGATTTTCAAGTGAACCTTCCCCTTTGTCCTTCCCTGCTCGAACAGGAAAGATTTGGCTTCAATGATCAACTCCAGTCTCCATTTCCCCGCCAGCTTGAACTTCCTCTCCTCTCCCATGGTTTCCTTACTGACTAACAAGACTTATTTGTTCCCAATGAAATCCAAGATGTGAACTGCTATTCATAAATTATCTGTTTATGGGCACATAACATCTGAGAACTTAGATAATGGGACAATGGAAAATAAAGTACCGAGTTCTCTGTAGCAATCCGGAATCTACCATGTATAGAAGCTCCAGCACCACCTCCAAAGATGATTCCATTAAGAATTGAAACCTACAAATGTGCTTATCGTTAATGATAGGATTGAATTTCAAGATACAAGAAATCTGAAATAACTCAGAAAAGAACCTGGTAACAGAGAAACTCTATGGGAATGAGAGAAAAACTAAGATAAATTTGCAAAGTTGAATCACCTGGGGCTTGTTGTATGTTGCCATAATGTAATTTAATGTATACTCAATCCAGAAAAACCTTGCACCTAATCTCCAATGACCTGGTGAATAAAAATTGGCTAGGATGCAACATCAGCTCAATTTTGATTACTAGAAACTTCAAACTCCCAGAAAACCCAAGCCACATTGAGAGAACTGATGAGTCCCATAGAAATAGTAACAAGGAAAGATACTAAAAGAAAGACAGAAAAACAAATCCACCACAACCAATGGTTATAGCCTGTGGCTACCGAATGAAAAGAATTTGCCTATTTAGAGAAAAACATTTACCATCAGTGGTATCCTTAACCACAGCTGCAACATCCCCACCAGCACAGAATGCTCTTCCTTCTCCCTGCAACCAATTGAGCATATATTAATCACTGAAATGAAGCAAAATGACAAGAAAACACAAAATACTGAAAATCAAATCTATATATGTATATATATATATATATATATTAAAACAAAGCGATCAAGAAATTTTCTCCTTTTTTTATTTTTTATTTTTTTTATTCCATGTCATTTTTGAAACAACCAATGAGATGCACTTTCCAAGAACCTAAATAATCTCTTCTCCTAAAATTTCTCCTAAGCTACCTCTCCCACTTTCTCCAAAATTATCTCTAACTATTTATCTTCTAAATTATCTCTAATTCCTATTTTCTCCAAAATTATATCAAATTTAGTAGAGAGTTTATCTCCTAAATTATCTCTAATTCCTATTTATCCCCTCCCATACTTTTTATCTATATCAAGTTTGGATTAAAAAAGTTAAAAATTATTTAAATTTTCTAACAAAATTATATAATAACTTTAAAATATTTATTAAAAACACAAAACAATTTTATATTTTTACAAAATATATCACGAAATTATGTACTAACAATTTAAATTATGTTTTTTCTGGATTATCAATTTAAATGTTTTTCAAATATTTAATAATATGTAATATCTTTAAATAAATAAAATTCAAATAACAAAAAATTTAAATATTTTATAGATTATTTAAACATTTATCAAAACTAGATTTTAAATAGTTAAAATAACGGAGTTATGTAATAAATTTAAAAAAATTCTTCAAAGTAGAAAAATAATTATAACATTATACTCAAATAAATAATAATTTAATATATTACAAAATTAATAATGAAATTATGTAATAATAATATAAATTATGGTTTTATGGATAATTAAATTCAATAAATAATTAATATTTTAAAATTTAAATAATTTACATATTATTTAAGTATTTAAATAACTAAATATGTTAAATAACAAAATATTTAACATAACTAGATTTTGAATAGTTAATATAAAGAAATTATGTAATAAATTTAAAAAAATCTGAAAAGTAGAAAAATAATTATAACATAATATCGAAATAACTAATTTCACTTATATCAAGTAATAATTCAAGAAAATAACTTTCAAAAAAGTTAATATTTATTAATAATAATTTTAAACTCTTAATCTATATTTATTATATAATTATATATTCTAAAATTAATATTTATTGTATTTCAGTAATTATTATTATTTTTTTATAGATGTATTTTCAATGATTATGTATAAATTTATTTTGTTTTGTTATTTAACAGAAAACTTTCAATAATTATTAGAGATTAAACCACTATTATTGAATTTTTTAAATTTAATTTATTGTACTTATTGTACATATTGTATTTTTGTTATAAATTATTGATTAATTAATATTTATTAGATTTTAAACTATTATTTGATATTATACTATTTATTGACTAAGTTAATATATTTTTAGTACTTATTGTATTTTTGTAATTACTATAATTATTGTATTTTTTCATTAAAACCAATATATTTTCAATAATTGTGTTTTCACTATAAATTTTCAATAATTATTGGAGATTAAAACTATTGTTATTTATCGGAGAAAAGACTATTAATTTAGCTAAAATTATGAGTGTTCATGAGTTGGTTCAGTCCGGCCATAGGTTATTTGGCCAACCAAATTGACCTGGTCAGGTTGGGGAGTTAGTCAGCTGAAACCGACTGACCTTTTGTGAAAACCGATCCACTCAAGTTGTATCGATTTGGGTTGGTTTCCACAAAAGGCCAGTTAGTTCAAAAGATTTAAACTAAAAAATTAAATTTAATTTTAAAATTTTCAATGCAATTATTAAAAAATAAATTTAAAAATTAGATTTATGAAATAAAATATTTTAGACTAAGACATATGGGAAATTTCTCACTTTCTCATATTAAAAATTATATTTAAAATATAAAATATTAATATATATCCATGGTTAGGCTGTTCGATTTTGGTCGGTTTACAAATGGCCAAAATGAAACTGATCCAACTTGGTCGAATTGGGAAATTTTTTAACCAAAGCCAACCTAAAATACTAGAAAACCGACCAACTCAAGTTGAGTTGATTGGGTTGGTCGGTTTCATAAGTTTGATGAATAAACCTAACTGAAATTAATTATTGTTATTTTTGAATTATAAAAAATTTATTAAAAGTAGTATATAAAATATGAATAATTATTAATTATTTAAAAAGTTGAAAAATATAAAACAATTGTATACTCTTATGTGTTTCTATTAGGGTCATTTACTAGAACACACCTTATAGTTTTATATATTTACTTAAACCTACCTTATAGTTCTCATTTTACTAAAACATCCCATATATTTTACAACTTATTTACTTAGTCAACCTTTCATTAAGGATTGTTTGTTTTGCCATTAGGTCCAAGATTTTTTATTCCAAAAATACTCTTAACACTTTTATATACAGAAAACAAAATTGGCCAAATATAGCCAATAGAGTGGTTGTCCGTGTCTTATTAAGGGCAGGAATGGTATTTTTGTTTCTATTTTCTTTTGATTAAATTTATTTAAATGAACATTAGTGTCAACACTGTCATTTTCCACTATCATCTAATGGAAAATTGATTAAATCCGTTGCAAATTATAAGTGGTGTTTTAGTAAAATGCTAATTATAGGGTAGATTTTAGAAAATCCATGAAACTATTAAGGGTATTTTAGTAAATGACTCTTTCTTTTATTTATCTTTTGTTTAATAATTCCCGTGCATCGCACGGGTCCCCACTAGTATTACATTAACAAAGCAAGTGACATATTGAACAAGAAGAGAAAAGTTTAGAAATCAAACAACATTAAGTACAATATCTGCAATGAATTGAATATATTACTAACTGAAATGAAGCAAAAGGATAAGATTAAACACAAAAAACAGATTTGATTACATTAGCAGAGCCAATGGAAATAATGAACAAGAAGGGTAAAGTTTGGAAACAATATATAGTTACAAGAAAAAATATGATTATACCACCTAAATTTAGTTTACAATCAAAAGCCAGAAAATTTTGGTTTTCAAATATAATAAACCAAATATTAAGTTGCATCATAGCAACTCCCCATAACAACCAATATCCCATCCAATGAAATGACAACTATATTTACTATTGACAGAAGAGAGGAAAGAAGGAAGAAAAGAAGAGGAAGGGGAAGCCTTGGTTGGTTTAGGAAGAAGAAAAATGCAGTCTCAAGAGTTCTTCTACTTCTTTCCATATTGCTGCATATACTAGCTAGTAAATGATTTGTATACCATCCTTTAGTAACAAAAAATCCAAAGACAATAAGACCTTTATTGCTTTGCAGACCCAACAAGGGTAGAATTTTTGGAATTATTAATAGGGGAAAAAATATTTACATAGATGCCAGGCATCCCTTAGATTAGATAGCTGAGAAAGCCCAGGGATTTGGGCATCAAGATGGTCCTAAAATCACCCCACAAGTTTTCTAGATTTTCTGTTATAAGTTGAATAGAAATTATGATATTTTCATTGGGATGAACCTTTCTGGTGGCAATTTCGTAATTTCAGTGAACAGTAATTTAACCCCTATTATTTCCCCTACAAATATATCTTGTAATAAGCCATGTTCCTGCTGATGCCATGGGGACAATCTCGGCTGAAAGGAACAGAAGAATATTTACTAACAAATATAGAGATGTTGATGTTCTGGTTAGCTTTGCAGTGGGCAGGGTTGTTTAATGGGTTTCTCAGTCTAAGAAGTTTGAGAATTGTAATCTTGGCCTGCTTTTGTAACTCAAATAGTTTATGGCATCACTAGCTTGTACCTTGTGGCCGGGGTGTTGGGTTTGGTTTCCACCCTCTCCCCACTCTTTGTTGTACAAAAAAGAAATCTTTTAAGACAATTTAAGGAAAGATGCATTAAAATGTATTTTTTGAGGTGGTGCAAATCTTCCTAATGCATTTCTTCTCAATGTGAACCTTTGTTCTTGCTTTTTATTTCTCTCTTTTCTCCCTTCTTTCTATATTCTCTCTTCTCTCTTCTAATCAAGATCTTCCTACAGTTTTAATCAAGATCTTCTAGTTAGCATTCCTTTTAGCTCTCAAAAAGGATTCAAATCACTCCTTTGCACCCACTGCACAACCTAGTAAATTTCTCCTCTTCCTTTTTCAACTCCTTTAGTTCAACTTTGGGTGTCTGTCAAATCCAAACAAATAAGAAAATAAACTAGTATAAGAATTCAATGTGACCTGTCTAGGTAAGTTGTTTTGGAGATGGAATGAGCAACCTAATACACTGTGGAGGAGAATTATATTGGAAAAGTATGGTGCTAGCAACATGCACAGGAAACCAGCAGAGGTAAACACAACTTATGGGTGTGCAGTATGGAGAGGCACCAAGAAATCACCAAGTGAGCTCAGAAAAGGAGTAAAGCTAGTGGTAGGAGATAGTATGAGAATAAAATTTTGGCAAGATAATTGGTGTGGAGATTTCCCCCTCAAAGAGCTTCTCCCCATTCTGTTTGAGATTGCACAAGAAAAGGACTTTTTAATAGCCAAAACTTTCTTCCAAGTAGGGAACCCAGGTGAGTGGTTYCCTGTTTTCAGAAGGAAGCTGAAACTGGGAGGTAGAACAGTAGGTGGAGCTGATGCAACAGATTGGTACCATTACACCAGATAAAAGAATTTGGAGGTGGGAGAAATCAAGAAGTTTTTCAGTTAAATCCTTCTATAGCAGTCTGAGTGGAGCTGAGGTGGAGAGCTTTCCAGAGGCCAGTGCGGAAAACTGTAGCTCCCCCAGTTGCAATTTTGTTGGGGGTGGCAGCTTTAAGGAAATTTTTGACAGATGATGAATTGGCTAGGAGAGGGCTCAGGGTGGAACCCAGAAGGTGTGTTATGTGTGAGGAAGCTTCTGAAGACTTGGATCATCTGCTTATTCATTGCAATGTAGCAAGGAGTTTATGGGTTTGTTTGAGGCTAAATTTTGTTTTCCAAAAAAAAAAAAAATGGAAGATTTACTTTGGTGATGGAAGCTAAAGGGGTCGTGTATCGGTATATGGATAGTAGGGCCTGCAATAGTGGTATGGACAATATGGACAGAAAGAATTAGAAGGCTTTTTTGAGATAAGTATAGTACAGAAGAGAATCTATTGAATGCTTTCTGGGGCAGATTGTATTCTTGGGTAAGAACACAAATGTTTCAGGGATAGACCATATAGTAGTGAGAGTGGGGTTAGTGAGAGTGGGGTTAACTCATCAGAAGTTCCTTTACCTGTTCCATTGAGTGATGAGAGATGTAATGGGGAGGTCAAGGTCATCCAAAGGAGGTAAAGTAGCAACAGTGGAAGGTATCTCAGGTGCATCTGACCATATGACTAGCTTGCCATCACTGTTTACTACCTATCACTTATCTTCTGGTAGAGATAAAGTGTCCATTGTTGATGGTTCYCTTGTTCCCATTTCTGGCAAGGGAGACATCAAGTTGTCTAATACCATTTCCTTATCTTCAGTTCTGCATGTTCCTAAGCTTGATACTAACTTGCTTTCAGTCAGTAGTATTACAAAACATCAGAATTGTTCAGTAACTTTTTTCCCTGACCAATGTATTTTTCAGGACTTGGAGACAAGGAAGGTGATTCGGACTGGCCGTGAGACGAATGGGATCTATCTGCTTGGAGAGAGTTCTCATTGGGAAGATCGTGAAGATAGGAAGTCTTTTGTTTCTCAAACCGTTAGTCAGGTTATGCTTTGGCATAATCGGTTAGGTCATTTATCCTTTCGGTCTTTGAAGAGTTTGTTTCCAAATTTGTTTGAGTCTGTTCAGATGTCAAATTTGAGATGTGAGAGTTGTGAKCTTGCAAAGCATTGTAGAACATCTTATTCCTTGAGTAATAAAAGAAGTAATTCTTTTGATGTTGTGCACACCGATGTTTGGGGCCCGTATCACATCCCTTCTATGAGGGGATACAAATATTTCTTGTTGTTTGTTGATGACTATACCCGTTTTTCTTGGGTTTACCTTATGCGTTCTCGAGATGAGATTCTTGCTCTGACCCAGATCTTTCATCAGATGATTTTAACCCAGTTTGGGGTCAAAATCAAAATCTTCAGATCTGATAATGCGAAAGAATACTTTACCAAGTCATTAGCCTCTTATCTGCTTGATCATGGGATTATTCACCAAAGTATTTGTCCTTATACACCACAGCAGAATGGGGTTGTTGAGATGAAGAATAGGCACATATTGGAGGTGGCTAGAAGCATTATGTTTAACTTCAATGTGCCTATCAGTTCCTGGGGCAATGCTATTCTTACAACAGTGTATCTCATTAATCGAGTTCCTTCACGGGTTCTTAACATGAAGCCTCCCTTTACCCTTCTATACCCCGATAAAGAATTGTTTACTGTTCCCCTTAAAACCTTTGGTTGCACTTGCTTTGTTCAAATTCTTGGACCTCATCGTTCCAAATTTGATCCTAAGGCCTCCAAATGCATTTTTCTCGGTAATGCACAAACACAAAAGGGTTATTGCTGCTATGAACCTACTTCTGGGAGGAGATTTGTCTCGATGGATGTTACTTTCTTTGAGGAGGTACCCTATTACCCTAGGATTTCTCCTAAGGGGGAGAGTAGTGAGAGTGGGGTTAGTGAGAGTGGGGTTAACTCATCAGAAGTTCCTTTACCTGTTCCATTGAGTCAGGATTTGAGAGTCTATCACAGGCGGTGGAGGCAGGTTGATTTCAGTCATCAGCAGTCCAGGCCAGCCCCAGTTCCTTCTGCGGATCCAGATCCAGGTACCACAGTCCCTTTATCAGATCCAGGTCCCCCTGAGATACCTTCCACTGTTGCTACTTTACCTCCTTTGGATGA